CATTGCAGAACACATGCAGTTACACTCCAAATAATGAAATGATACTCAAGGAATGACACATGGTCTGAAATGGGCTAAACGTTACGTCTAAGCTAAAAGAGCAGAAGTTTGACCTATGTTGGTTTATTGGTTTAGTTTGTTTGTTTTTCCTAGCTCTTCAATCTTTATTTATTATCCTGTTTCAATGGTGATTTTGACATTTTTTCATTTTAGTTGCTAAAACAGACCTCTCTTACTCCTCAGTCAATTCTTGAAAAATATTTAAGAAAAAAAACAATTCATTTAGGTTTTGCAAACGTGTTTCCTGTGCTTTCTTCAGTGCAGGATGAAATGAATGTTAAATTTCTTTTACCAGTTTTATTTTACAATTCTTGAAATATTTTATCGTAATTTGTTTTAGCTTACACTTAACAAACAATGATGCTCTGTTGAATGAGCTTTTGTTTTCTTTTGTTTATCTTGCTGCACACTAGCATAATAGACCTTATTCCTGAATTTGCCCAAGTGACCACCATGAAAYAATGTCTCAAAGTTGACATTAGAGCCAGTTTTGGGGTCACTCAAGMCAATTTGAGAAAAGTCTATAAGTTACATGTGCTTTCACATATTGGTCGTAATGTTTGTACTACACAACAATAAAGTTAACATGTTTTAATCACAGATCTTATGGGACGARAATATTGTGCCAACACAGTACTATTCTGGAGAGGGTAAGTTCATATCAAATGGTAGGATATTTCTAATGTAGAACTTAATTAGCTTAATATTTATTCAAAGAAGAGAACTTGTTCATATATTTGATTGATTAGTTGGATCTGACTAAATTAGTCTTTTTGCCCTCGTAGCCTATGAGTCAAATTCAGGCTCAAGGAGTATTATTGCTAAATAATTATGAGGGTCAAATTTATCTTTTTTATTTGYCAGTCGTAAAATCAGTCTGAATTTTGTCCTTGCTTTACACTGTTTTTTTAAGTGAATCAACTATTACTATGTGTGTACATGTATGTAAGTGGCTCACTGCATGTGAGCTATTTTCCATTACATTTGATGACATGTACGTTGCTAATATYGTATATTGTTTTTTCTTTCAGATTGTCTTGCTCTCCCAAAACTTAACCTACAGTTCCTGACTCTCCATGACTACCTTTTACGTAATTTAAATCTCTTTCGCCTTGAATCAACATGTAAGTAAGACTGTGCCTTTCCAACTGAAAGCGCTATTAAACTCGTTGACAAGTGTTTTATTTATTTAGATGAAATAAGACAAGATGTAGAAGATGTTGTGTCAAGAATGAAGCCATGGTAAGCCAGACTCTACCTCTATCATCTGGACAAAATTAGTTATAAAACTCCTTTAGAAATTTCATTTACCTTTGAGGTTTATGGTTCTTGAGGCTCCACAATGAGGGGAGCACAATGAGGGGAGCACAATGAGGCAACAATGCATTATCTGAATTATTTAATATATCTTAAAATTGTGAAATCTTTTTCTCTCTTATTAGGCAAAATGAAGCTGGAAAAACAGAGTTTGCGGGATGGGCAAGAATGGGCACTGTTAGTAGAATTGCATTCATCAAAACATAATCAGTTTTTATTTATTAATATATTTTTTGAATTTATAGGCTACTTTATGACAMAAGTTTAAATATTTACTTATGCTGACAAGAGTAACCAAGGAGAATGTACTGGATATTGAGAATGATTTTGCCATTAACTATAGGGAATTTCATTTCTACTAACTAGATTCAGGGGCTACGCAGGAGGTAGCAACCCCCACCCCCAACTTTTCCCTTTTCCAATACAAGTCTTGGATTACATTTTCCAATCTTATTTCCAACCTTAGTCCCCACTTTTTCCCATACATACTAGTCACAATCTTAGCAGCCCCCCCTCACACACACACACTTTTTAGGGTSCTCTGCAGCCCATGGAATAAATAAAGATAGCAATTGAGTAAAGAGATGAAATTATGAGCAGAAAACAAAATACATAATATCTAGGACTAGATATTTTCTGATACTCTACAATGTTTTAGTCAATGAATTACACATAATCATAATATTTGTTATCTTTGCAGAAAATAGAAAACTTTACTGTAGTAGAGGTGAGTATTGATTTACCAGCAAAAGAATTTGAAGATATATAATATTATTATGTTTCAATTTCAAACATGTCTTGACGATTAGCTTGCCCATGTACAGCCACTCTTGTGCCTTCCCCTGTCAGGGATTCACCAAAAGAGGGGCTCGAAAAGTTGAAAATTTCAAAAACCCTGACATCTTCATCTGAATGATTTATTACAATTGAAATTATTGTTTCTCCTTAGGTTTCCAAACCAAATATTGGTGAGAATAGGCCATCGCAAGTAAGAGCRGATATTACCATCAACTTGTCCATGAGAGAAGGAGTAAAAGGAGAATGGGAAGGTGAAATATTTGTTTTTATTTAGAGGCTTAATAGACGCCATAATACAGCTTGGACTGCCTGCGGTTAGATGGCAGTACAATATGATCCCCATGCTCTCTGGAATTGAATTCTTTCTTACGTTAAATGATTGTATTGTTCCTGCCATCTAACATGGCTGCCGTCACGTGATAACGTTGGTAACACTCTTAGTTATCAAGATATTGAAGTTATGGAGTCTCAAATATGTATCATTTTGTTGTAAAAGTATAGTGACAGTTTTCAGTACAAAACAAAGCTTGTATTATTCTTTGTATTTGCTCAACAGGTCTCCGTAAGCATGATATTGTGTTCCTTATTACAGTCAGACCAACTCAAACTTCTTTCAGATATAARTATGACAGGACAAAACCTTACAGAGAACAGGTTAGTTTGGGAAGAGCCCATGAGGTTTTACATTGAAA